CAGCTCAAGGAGTGAAGACAGAAGAGCACGGCTGCCAAGAAATCTCCACCTCCACCGAAAGAGTTGTTGGAACCCCCTACGCCTTTTTCCTTGCTGACGTAACTACTCCTCACCGGCGAAAGGCAGTTTGGGAACTGATCTCGACATTCCGCATTTGGAGTGCAACCTAAAAGGAGCCGGGGCTTATAGAAATAGTTCTAAAAGATTCTAGCCATATTCTAGCCCAATCTACTTATACCCCTTCCTTTCCATGTGTGGCATTCAGACCGCGCGCAAGTGCAATTTGAGCAGGGGAGCTGGAGTGGGAGCTGGGTGTAGCAGCGGCATCCCCGTGGCAAGGAAGTCTTCCGACAAAAAGCGCCACAAGCATCTCCAGCCCGACGGAGCCCATAACCAAACCAGGAATATGCAAAGTCGGTGAGCTCAAAACGTATAAGTTGTTTCACAAGGCCAGGTGAAACTTGACTTAAGGAACACATCTTACCCTTTGAACACCAAGCAAGGCGTATGGTCACACGCACAGTGCCAGCTGTTGCTCGGCAATTTGCATTGATACTCTTTTTGTCCCTGCCAAGCTCTGGAATGTGGATGTGAATGTGGATGCCCGCTCTGGCAGACATACACTCCAGTTATGCAACCGCAAAAGCAGCAATGACCAATTGAGTTAGTTTTCTAAAGAGCGGCCGTGAAATACAAAAAGCGTACTGAAACCTGGAAAAGCGATAGGCCTGAAACCTCGCGACAGGCCCTTGAGTCTTGTTAACAGACCGTCAAAATGGAAGGCCGAAGGCGTGGTGAAATCGCTGAGGATGCGACCATAAGAAGGTCATACATTGCGTTTATTGTTGCTACTAGTAAGGCACTTGTTACTAGAAGCGATGCACTTGTTACTAGTAGCTTATGGTTTCTATTTAATCCATAAGAAGGTCATACCATTTTTTGAATTCATTATGTCAGGCAGATAAAATTGTTCAAACGCCGTAGTGTAGCGCCTGTCCGCAGGACCTTCCCTGGAACCTGCCAAGCAAGGCTGGTTGACTTTACCACCACACGCAGCGAAACAACTCCTGTGAGTTGGCTTTAAGTGATTCTGATGCCTCTCTCTAAACCTTCCGCGCAGCCCTCACAAACCATTGTCAAGAGAGACTGCTCCAACACCATTGCAGCTTTCGCCCAGTTGTTGCCACCTTTCTTCCATTCCCAGATTGCATGTCGGGGCAGAGAGTGCTTGACATGTGCTCAAGAGGTGCGCAGTCCTTTTGGGACGCAGGACGGGTGACCGTATTGATTCCGGAGTTGTCCTTCCAGTCGGGAAAACATATTGGGAACACTCAAGGCTTGCTTGAGGCCCCTCTGCTAGTCCAGGCGCTCATTGGAGATTCTGATAGGATTTGCTGCAGACCTTAAAGGCTATCAGCTTTTCCATTGTGTAACGCTTCCTTGCATGGACATGTTCGATAGAGCTGCTGGTCCCTCGCGGCGGTTTTGGGATTTGTTCAATTTGTTGGGAGCTTGTTGTGCTCAAAGCACGAGGCTGGGGGTGTATTTGCGAGCGTTGCCTCACTCAAGAAGCCATGTGTCCTTGTACCCTGTGAACTAGCTTGTGGTGCCGAGACCACATTGCGAGCAATGAGAGCTTTTGACCAGCTTTCAGCCTGCGAGAGTGCTCTCATCACGGGTGCTTGCAGCAGGCGCCACCACTTTCAATGTGCGTAGGATGGCCAGGGCACCAGAACAAAGTATTCGTGGTCTCCAGTGCAGCAGCTGGGGCGGTTATTCAATTGCGTGAGGACTAATGCCTAACCTTCCGGCTGCTTGCACCAAGAGTTCAGCCTTGAATAATTCTTGCAATCCTTGAATCATCATTTTCGAACGGACGTCAATCACGTAGCAACTTCGGGTGTGTTTTGATGAAGTTGAAGTGAGGTGCGCTGGATGGAACTCAAAAAGTGCAAGCTTTGGCCAGTGGTGTTTTTGAGGTTTTCCAGCGCTGTTCAAGTGGCTGGAGATGTTTCAATATATGAATAGAAGAGTATGACTTGCACAAGGCTTTTTAATATCAGTCCTCACCTCGGAGGTTACAAACATTCCCAGAACGAGAAGATGCGCGCTCTAGAAACTTGCTTGGGCAGTTTTGTGGAACTTGGTTGGTGTTCTTTGCGGATTTGGTTACTTGGATTCTGGTGTGACTTGTGCAGCGTGAGCTAGATTTTGAAGGCTGCTGCAAGAAGTTGCAAGTCCCACTTCAACTGCAATTCAAGTTTGTCCTCTCCTGAGGCCGCAAGGACATGAAGATCATGAAGGCCCGAAAAGAGAAGACAGAGAAGGCGGAGGCCGACTTGTTTTGCAGCTGCGGAGATGCTCCCACGAGCCTCGTTTGTCAGAGCCAGCGGGGAGTTGGGAAGCTTGAGTTTTAACGTCCGCAGCTCGTCTGCCGTGCACGGGCTTCATGAAACTCAGCTTGTGCATATATATATATAGAGGACATATTTCAGAATACGCACTTGCAGTGCTTGACTATGTACAAGTCGGAAAAAGCACCTTTCAGTCGCCAAACCATCTCTTTCTGTGGTAAGGTTAGTTTTGTTTAGGGTCATCTGCGCGGAGGTTCGGAGAGATTGCAGAGCAGTGCCTTGCACGCAAATGCGGTGGAGAGGGAGTGAGGGACAGTGCCAGGTGCGATTTTGCCAGCTTGCCTGGTGCAGGCTCCTTTGCGATGGGGTCAATTAGCGAGTCCTTCTGGAATCTTCCATGTTTGTTGGAAGGCTGTGGGACATGTTGGTGGAAAGTTGACATTGCTGGCTTCATGCACCCGGATCCTAGGTCCATGGATGCTGCCGGCGGAATGGAAGCAGCGCAGATGTACAGCGGAGACGTGTGCCCGCTGTTGCAGAAATTGCCAAGTGCTGCCAGGATGGAGCAGCGTGTGGATATGTCCAATGAACGTTTTGCGGCAAGTAGTTGCTGTGAGACATCACAATGCTGGGAAGATGAAAAATGTGCGTGGCCTTGAGACGCCAGAGGCATTGGATTCACTCAAAGGCCTTGTCCCTCGCAACACGTAGATTGGCAGTGGCACTTCTTTCCGATGGTGCTGCGACAGATGTCCGGTGCATGATCTCTTTACTGTCAGTAGTTGAGTTCACACCACTTGGCCATGTCCGCAAGAACATGTTTGCACATAGGGTATGATAGAATAGTCGTTTCTTTATGATCAGTGAGGCCTGTGTCTTCCTTGTGTGTTTTTGGGCACTTCTAGAGATGGTAAGATGCAATATTATGATACAATATGGACATGGATATGCCATTAACATGGAACGTTCAAAAACTGTGCTTTGAGAGTTGGTCACTGTTCACCTACTAGCGCTAGAATGCTCTATATACTGTTGGCTGTCAACATCCTTGCCTTACCCACTGTCAAAGGGAACAGCCAGAGAGAAGCTCACGCAAGCTGCGGTTTGCGCGTGGGTGTGACTGACATGCAAAGTCCAAGATTCAGAACGTGGAATGTATTGCCATGCTACACACCACATATCCACATATCGGATGAATACGTAATGATAAATAATATATATAGTATATACAGTGAACCCCAAAAAACACCTGAATTCAACGGAAGCTATAGTAGGTTGCACCTTTTGGAGTACAGGTGGGCCACCTCACCGTCTGCTGGCAAGGCTCTCAATGAGTTGCTAGGCATCCAGGCAGCGCCAAGTGAGCTGCTGAAGGCAAGATACCTTAAGGGTAGCATAGCATGCAAGAATAAGGGAATGATTTTCAAGCTGACAAGTGCACCATGCCAAATCAACGAAGTTCTTCTGCTGCATAGCATGGCATGTATTCGATACCCATGCCTTGTCGAGAAGGGCAGCTTGAATAGATTTGCTTGTGGTGCAGTTTGGGTTTACAGAAACTACATGTACCTGCTGCAGTGATGTTCCCGTTTCCGTGTGTCGCGACGTCCAGGATGTTGAGATTTGACAACAGATGAATTGGGCCATGGAGGATAGCACCCTTCCCAGTATCATTCATTATCCAAACCCGAACCCACCGGAGGCACAGAAAGCAGAGGAGAAAGAGGCAAGAAGGGTTGGAATGCTTGAAGCTGCTAGAGCTGAACCCAGATGAATGAACCTGGCAGAGGAAGTTTGCCATGGACAACTTCCGTTCATGCCCACATGGCATGTTGATTAGCCTCAACCACAACCAATTGAATCTTTAGATGTCCTTCGCCAGGAGGGGAAGCAGTTGAAGGAAGCATTGGAGCAGCGAAACAAGGAGATCTCAGAGGCTGTTAAGGTGCAAGTCACGAAAGGTAGCGGTTACGCTACCTGAGTTTTCCTTTTGCTTTAGCAAAAATGTATTATACTCAGAGCTGGAGCCTATCTCTCAGAGAAATGGTCCCCGACATCTTCGTTTGATGGCCGGGGGGGGCCTCAACAGTGACAAAAAATAATGGAATTTACAGCGTTTTTTGTGGCTGTCCGGCAAAAAAACACCGCAAAAACCGATGGTTTTTGATGCGTCTCGGTTAGAAAAATGACCGAAAAAAGACCAAAAACCAGGAAAGATTTTGTCGGAAAGGGATTTTGAGGCTTTTGGAGGCTTCAAAATTGCACAAAACTATGGTATTTATATACAGGGTTTTGTGCACCTTCCCGGCAGAAAACGCCGGTATTTACACGGCTTTCTGCGCTTTTCCAGCACACAACCGTGGTGCGCCTCTGGGTCGACGGCTACAAAACACCGTAAATACCAGTGTTTTCAGCTCCTCCTGTCTTCAAGCGTGGCCTTACACCTTGCCGCGGCTGTGGATCGACGGCAACAAAACCTCGTAAGTACCAGTGTTTTTGAGCTCGTCCTGTTTGCAAGCATGGCCTGCGGCCACGCAATTTACAGGGTCGCAGCACGTCACTATGTAAATCCGAAGTTGCATTTGAGAAATATGTGACGTGATTGTGATTAGTTTGTGCATTAGTTTTTCTTTCATCACGCTCAGTCACTTCTCTTCAAACAAGTGGGGGGCCTCTCACCTCCTCCCGGATTACGCCTGATTCCCTGCTACCTTTCGTTCACCCCCCTCCTCTCTCAAGTTCTGTAAAGTTCTTCCAAGGGCTCTTCAAATGCTTTTCGACTCAAAGTTGAAGGTGTTCGCTTGGGTGTCAGTCTTGTTGTTGCTGCTGTTCTTATTTTTCCTGTTCTTCTTGCCTTGAGCTTCGGCATTGATGTCCTATTCAGTTTGGCCAGCTGACCGACCAAAGTACAGTGGCAAAGCGCCAAATCCCAGACTCTTGCTTATGCAACATCGAAGCATGTGGATGCCGGAGTTTGACTTCCGTATTTGTGTGGATGCTTCACTTCTTGGAAGCTTTCATGCAGTGCGTCAGATTCGGTAGGCCGGCGAGACTGTGTCCTCTATCCAGGTGCCAAGTGGGACTGCATTCTTATCGCTCAGAATGAAACTATTTGCAAAAATTGTTGAACCCTTGTTGCACCCAACGCTTCATCCGACCAGCTATGTTACCCAATGTCTGTCCAACAAAGCAAGTCGAGTGTCTTCGGGTTTACGTTGAAGGTTCCTGCTTTGGACATCCTGAGACAATGGTACCACTGTAACATGGTATATTCTGGTGATGCCTGCCCCGATTGCACTTGGCAACATTCTGAAAGGCCCGTCTCCGACCCAGAACCTTTGTGTTCGATTTCCAGCCTCCAATGACAGGCATGAGATGAGGGAGGGAGGAGGGAAGCGGATCGCGAGAGAGAGAGAGAGAGAGAGCCAGAGCCAGAGCCAGAGCCAGAGCCAGAGCCAGAGCGAGCGTGCGCGCGTGCGCGCGGACAATAGGGCTCGACTGCTCAAACCCATCCATGTGATTCGTGATCCATGTAGCACGTGTTCCCCATCTGGGTATCAGCTTGAGAGGTATGGCGAGACCTGACGGCATGAAGAAGGAGCTTGAGGACTTTCAGAGATCTGGAGCTGGAATTGTCCGCGTGGAGATTTCGAGCTAGCTTCTAGTTACTAGATGTTACTCTATAGTAGTAAGGCCAGGAGCGCCCCTAGTAGCGTCCTAGCAGCGATGCCCTTGGTTCCGTTCGTAGCGAGGCTTTGGACCTGGTCGCAGGACCTCCGAGAGATCATCTCCTTCATTCTGCACTCGGCCAACAGCCCACATGACCAGGCCACGCACGGGGCCCTGCACCTCTCCACCCCCCCCCGAAGGCCCCCGTAGTCCGACCCGTAGTTCGAGGCCGTGGTTCGGATTGCCTCCCCGGGCGGCATGGTGGCAGATTATGGCTTGGCAGCGGCGCAGCTCCTGCGGCTGCGGTCTAAAGGGCCGCAAACCTAGTCACTTTGTTGGGTGAGGGACATCGATGTTGCGGTGATAGATGCCACATTCAGAATCATGAGTTCTGAAGCCGACAAGCCTTTCGAGAAGGTGTACAGCATTCAGTCATTCCACGGCTTCTTGTGCCTGTAAGGTTGAAATTGACTGCATGCGTTGACAAGGCCAGCCAGCGTTTGATTCTTGGGTCTCGAAGTTCAGAGCAAGTGTCGTTTTGTTTGCAATCCTGGGATGGTGATGCGGGTTATGTTTGCCATCGCAGGTTGCAGCTTCAGGTGGCTACATGCAGCTTGGCCTTTGTTTGGTAGCTCCTCGAAAATCGCTTGAGATTGAGTTTCTAGGATGATTTCCGACATGCCTCAGGATGGCCTGCGCAGTGGTGCACTTAGTCCTGCTGCAGGGTGTCCCACGAGCTATTAAAAGGAGTGTGTAAACATAGAATTCGGGATGAATGAGCAAAGTCCCGATAGGCTTGCTTCTCAAATTTTTGAATGCTGCCAACGGCGAGGCGGACACTGTTGTAGCCACACCTTTCTCCCTTGTAGGATCAATTGGATCCTTGGCTTGCAAGAAGATGAGCCATGCAGTGGTCACTCAACATTTTGTGAGATTTCCTTCAGGTGCCAGCGCCTTGGCCCATGCTGTCCCTGCCCATGCATCATTTTCAGTATTCCATCATGGGTCGTTGGCCAATGCAGAGATTAAGTTGTTGAGCTTTCAAGTCGACTGCCGCCATTGTTTTTGTTGCACAATGCCGGAGTAATGCGTGTTTGGCCGATGGCTTGCGGGCCGAGGAGTATTGATGGCCACGCCAAATTTCTCCAAGATTCTGAAAAGGCAACATCACACTGCAATTTTGTCAAAGTGCGGGAATACAATTTTGTAATCTACCTATAGGTCAATGTCAAGATGTATTTTTTCTTATATATATATATATTTTTTTATTTATAGCTGGCTGTGACATTGTCAGACAATTGTCAGATGAGAAGGTGTCCAGAGCATACTCGGACTGCTCAGGGGTTTGTTACACCTTTGCTGTTGAGCAGGAATGACATCGACTTCATTCAGCTCACCGCGGGGAAGTGGAAGCGAACAGTGGGCCCCTTCTCGGAAGTCACTGACGAAGCCAGAGAAAAGGCACAAGAGGACTGCTTTCAGCCAATGAACCGCCATCCAGGCTCATAGCCTCACTGTCACAACTGCATAAATTTAGGACAGATCAAATCGAAATTTGGTTGAACGTCTCAGCGATGTGCCGGCTGTCTACATGGAAATATTACTGCACAGTTCACACAGTTCCAGATGTTTCAAGATTTTTGGAGCTGCCTGGAAGCTTAGATGGGCTCCTGAAGGACATCCGCATCGTGCACGAAGCGTTCAAAGGCTTGGTCCAAGAGCAGCGTGGTGGCCTCAATGTGGATGAGGCAATGGCATTCTGCGGGTCATGCCTGGGCGACCGGTTGAGGTGTGACTGTCTGAGGTTTTGGGCATTGAGCTCTGTAGAATGTAGAACATCCCTGAGCTTCCACGCCATTCCGATAGAGTGGATGATTCTGAGGAACGACACTATGCATAATTGCTGCAGGCTGTAGATCATAGATGTAAGAGGGCCATGCCGCCATGCATTTATCATGAAGGTTGCTGTATTCGTGCACCACCCTACATGGCCTCCAACCTATATAATGGGTCCGTAGTGATGCTTGTGCTTGGATCGCTTTGCTTTCTGCGGTTCGCAGGTGGCCACCGGCGAGGTGTTCCTTGGGGCAGAGGCCAAGTCCCGTGGCCTGGTGGATCGCTTGGCCACCAGCGATGAGGCGACGGAATCGCTTGAGCGGTTGGACGGAGTCAGCGGTTTGGCGGAGCATTTGAGAGCCTCTAGTAGCGATGGCCTCCAACCTAATTGCGATGGCCTCCTGAGAGTCTTTGTGAGAGTTTGCTTGGGTTGGACTGCGACTATGACATGCAAGGAGTTTCATGAGAGAGGAAGTTTGGCTTGTGACAGTAAGTTTCAGTAAGTCGGTACAGTGAGCTAGCACTGCATTCAGACCTGGAAGGGGGTTGCCTTTCTTGCTGAGTTGAGGCATACTTGCTTCTACTCTATTGTTGGGTAGTTGTCCGGAGGACGCCAATCAGTCATTGGAAGCTATTGGAGGGTCAACAGACTGCAGGTTACCTGAAAAAAACCCGCCAGGTCCTTGACGAGTTCATGGGTGTGTCAGACGTCATTCAGGCCGTGAAGTACTCTGAAGTCCCTGAAGCACTGATTTTTCCTGTTGGCTACATTGTGCTACACATAGTGGTTGATAATTAGGTCCTAGGTGGGAAAGCTTCGACCTAGCCCAGGTGTGAGGTGGCCTTTGTAACCCTTCAGTTGGTGTTTTGCTCAGATTGTCTAGCAGGTGTCCGTCGCAGCAAAGAAGAAGGCCTTGGGGAGCCAATGCTTCTGCCACATGACATCCCTGATGGACAAAAGTTGTCCAGCCTTACCCAAAACACTTCTGAAACTGTAGGGCTTTGCCTCCTTTCAACTTCTGAGATCAAGCTCTCCGTGGCACCAGTTTTGCCACTGGTAATGGAAGTCACATGCATGTGCTGCAATGGTCCAAACGAAGATGACGACTTGGTCTTTGGATGAGACTTTCAGAGTTGGGTGGCCCAGAGCATGATTGAGTGCGCAGGGCGTGCGGGAATTGCTGGAAGGCAGGAACCATGCCCGGATGTCAAATTGCAGACCCCTCTGAAGGTATGAACATGTATGAACACTCACATGAACAGTTGTCAAGCAACAATATCTTGACACACGCCAGTCCATGAACTTTTCATAAGACAATTTCTTGGAGGCAGGCTGGAGGCTGCAGAAGTCGCATGTGGTGCCTTTTGGCAGTGCTGGCCTTGAAGTTGAGCTTTGAAGGAATTGAGATTAAACCAGCCGCAAATTCAGATCAGAATGGACCAAGAATCCATGAGGCACAACCCCTTCTGTTATTGTCCCGCGTTGGACACTGATTTGATGCACATCCACTTGCAAGGCGCCTCACTGGCTCTGGCTCGGTGGTCCTGGAATCATCTGACCCTAAGATCCAGTGAGGTCAAAAAGCCAGGCCGATCAGCCCTGTGGGGACAATGCTGGGCCTCACTTGTGGTCATTTTGTGCCAATGTGCACGGGCTCATCGTTTGGAGAAAAGTTACAGCGGTTAGCATGTGGTACGCTAGCAGTGGCTCAGAGGAAGGGTCCACAACTTCTTGAGAAGGGTGGCCGATGAGTTGCAACGTTCTTTTCGGGTTCGATCTCCTTCAGATTGCAATCTAGCTCCAGCCCATGTGGCCAGCCTGACAATTCTTAACGATGCGCCCTGTCCGTGTCATATGAAATGTTTTGCAAAGAGAGTTCTGCCCGAGAGTCGGTGCCATTTCTTCGACACAAAACGGGTACCGAGGCCTGCAGCGGTTCAGTAGATATTTGCCGCGCTCTGCTAGAGGGACGCTGGGAGCTTAGAGCCCAATATTCGACTCCATTGGTACTGGTAACCTGCATTTTGCATTTAAGCTCATGCAATGCAATCTCTTACTAAGTGTAGTATATACGCCCCTTCCTCGCTTGATGGACCACCAGCCCCGCATATCTTTTGCCCGCATGAGCTGAAACTCCGAACTCAGAGTCAGAGACTTCGTTGGCATTCTTCTGGCTAATGACACGTCGTAGCTTGTCCACCATGCATCTGGAGAGCCCCCAAGGAGCAGACCCAGCTCTGCGGAATTTGCAGGGCCTGTCCGCGTGGGATCTTGCGCCTGGGAACTTGGAAAGCAAAGCACCGCTTTTTACAACTCACACGTAGGCCATCGCTAGTAGGTTGGAGGCCATTGCTTTTAGGTTGGAGGTCATTGCTTCTAGGTTGAGGCCATGACCGGTGTTGGTAACATTTGGTCACCCGTATATGTCTATCGCCTGTGGCCAAGAGTGCCCTTGAGAGACCCCATGCAGAGATATGCAGAGTGCCTTTGAGTGTAAGACGTTCTTGGCGTATTTTGGCCCAAGCAGTGATCTTCACTCTCAAGTTCGAGGACCTGGCGATGGTGAATTCTCATGTCACTGATTGAACACCCTGTCACGGTAGATTGCACTGTGTACACGTCGAGCCCGCAGGAACACCGACCCCGTGCGCCAAATCGGCGAACGTCCTTTCTCCTCATCATGGCCACTCCAGAGTATGCCACTGGGCATTTTGGTGGGTTCCGTGTAGGTTGCTGCACAAAGATCGTCCACGAATCACATCGTAACATGCGAACCTCCACTCCAATCTCTGTTGACGCTCCTGACTCCCACACTTTCAAGACTGCTAGGGCTAGGACAGCTGCGAGGTGTTAAGTTTGACATGCTATGGCAGGCCACCGTTTACGAGAGGGCGTGCAAAAAGTGCCTGCGTGACAGCTAAAGCCAGGAATGACAGAAACCAAACAAGCTTTATATACCTGACATGTATATACATAATCTTGCCGTTTTGACCGCAGCTCATATGGAAAGTTGGAGATCAGCTGGCATCAGTCGGGGTCACCTGAGGACTACCTCTTCAAGCTCCTGTTGATTGGAGACTCAGGCTGGAGCTGTGTGAAGCAAGTCATTTTACACGCTTCATCATGCAGGTTGGACATTATGATTATTATGGAGCAGCTGTTTGAGCAGAAACTTCATCAGTCAGGTGTTGGCAAATCTTGCCTCTTGCTCCGATTTGCAGATGACACCTACACGGACTGCAGAGAGCCGTCCGTTGGGAGTTGACTCGCTCTACTGTATTTGCCATCCACCGGAAATATGATGAAATATGCAAATATGTTTTTCTTTCCATCACCCTTCTGAGTCCAACGGCAGGAGAGCTACATCAGCACCATTGGTGTGGATTTCAAGATTCGCACCTTGGAGCAGGACGCCAAGACCATCAAACTGCAGACCCTTGGCAAATGAGGGACGTTGAGTTCAGGGCACTCCTGGCACTCCTGATATTCAACACCACAACATACAACAAGCCCATGCTGCTTTCTTGCCAGTTGCCTTAACTACTATACAGCTACTACGTAGGTTGTGAGGATCCCATTGTAATCCGTGTCTCCTTTGCATTATTTCACTACGCCGACCCAGCCGAGGATTTGGGATACTGCCGGGCAAGAGCGATTCCGCACCATTACTAGCAGCTACTACCGCGGCGCACATGGCATCATTGTTGTGTATGATGTCGCAGCCTCAGAACCTCAGGCACTGGCACTGCCCAATAGTTCCGAAAGATACTTAAGTGATCCGTAGAGTCAATTCATGTCAATTGCATCGCCAACTTGGGCTCTAATTAGATCAGTCACAGTGAAGTGCCACTACAGGTGACGGACAAAGAGTCCTTCAACAATGTGAAGCACTGGGTCCAGGCAGTTTTCCTACAATCACCATTGAATCAATTGATTATTTGTTTGCGTTCCTGAAAGTGCGACAAAGATGGAGTAAAGCGTTGGTTGGTTTGAGGTCTTTCAGGGTAAAGAACAGGAAACAACTGTTACTTTTAGATCATGGCTCAATGCAGACGATAGGTGTAGACTACAGCAAAGGCAGAGAAACCATTGAAGTACTTGTTTGATCTTCAGGAAATCGACAAGTATGCCGCCGATGGAGTGAACAAGCTTTTGGTGGGAAACAAGTGCGATTTGTCTTCCAAGAAGGTGGTATCCTATGATGAGGCGAAGGAGACACGTGGGTGGAGGTCCTCGAACATGTTGCGATGGCGTTGCTTCAGGCGCCCGAAGGTATACATCCATAATCCTGGGAGCAAAGGGCATCGCTACTAGGAGCAAGGACGCTACTAGGCTCTCCTGGCCCTACTACTAGCAGCAAGGACGCTACTTCTCCTTGCCTTACTGCTAGGAGCAAGGACGCTACTAGTAGCTTTGCTTTTCACGCTTCAGCCAATGTTTGCGGTACACCAGCCGCTGCGGCTTGGCATGCAGGAGTTGGCAGATTCCTTTGGCATCCAGTTCATGGAGACCAGCGCCAAGAATGCCCACAATGTGGAGCAGGCACACAGTATTGACAGGTTATGGGTGATGGGTGTCAACAACTATGTGGGGTCATGTCAGCCCCCTAGAGTTGCTACACATTTCAACGGTAGAGACACAGAATCCCTGCTTCAACATTTATATAACTTAAAGTAGCGCCTTGAGCGACGCATCTTCGCATCTTGTTTCATTGCTCTCGCCAGGCCTTCCAGACCATGGCTCGCGAAATCAAGCAGCGTGTCGCCGCACAGCCTCAGGTGTGGTCTCAAACATCCAGTTTCACCCGGTAGGTTGACCTCCAACCTACTAGCGATGGCCTCCAACCTAAGAGCGATGACCTCCCTAGTAGTCTTTGACCACGGTCATTCCCGGGTGCCAAATGATCCGCCAAGTGGCGCATTCAAACGCCAGGCCAAGAGCGGAGCAGGCAGCACCACCTTGGGTGCAGGGCGACCGGTGGGTCAAGGTGCTGGCGGCTGCTGCAAGTGAGGCCGGGCGCTTGGACTTTGTGGACCACATTTTAAGAATATTTGAAGGCTATGGCATCTATGTCTATTCGCAATAAATAGCAGACATTCTCATTTTTGTTCAGGAGCTACTTGTACCTGCTTCTTGGTTGATGTTCTTTCCTTTTCTTCCCTTCTTTGACACTTGTTCAGTTCTTTTTCCTGTTTGTCCTCGGAGACAAACCTTCTGCCTGCAGTGGAAGCACCGGTGATCATTCTAAGGGTCGTAAAGATCTACTGTAAGTCAAGAGGTGATCCTATATGGGGCTCGTTGACCCAGCCTGTCCCTGACCTGCCTACAACAGTTGAGCTCATAGAATCCTTGGATGCTAGGACATGCAACCAGCGCAGAGGTTTCGTGCAGTACCCCTGCGCTTGGCAGGCTCCTTGGAATGCATTTGCATGCCAATGCTGTGTGTGTGTGTGTGTGCGCAGCCCATTGCAACTTGGGACATCGTGCGGCCAGCCCGGCTTGTGAGGCATCTCGTGACGAGGATTTTGCCCTCAATTCGCAGCGCAACTTGGATGAGCAACATGGTGCAACATGCATGAGACATGACACCGGGATGCTGAGTTCACACCACAGTAGACTTACTTTCGAGGCACAACCGAAGCCTTCGGGTTGTCATTCACTGCCCTGGTTTGTGACATTAGACCTCGGCGTCGGGTCATTTGATGCAGTTGTTTGATCTTTTTTGCTCGCTTCATCCTATTTCACGGATTTGGCGATGTGTTTGTTCTTTTCATGATCTCAGCCTGTTCAAACGCTGCTTTCATTGAGTCATTGAGGTGAGCACCAGCATCACATGGGGCAGCTTCTTCACGCGACTGTGAAAAGTCACAGTTGCGTGGCTTTTGCACAATTGTGGCCAGTGCTTCCTTGCAGACCTGTAGCCACAATTCAAAGAGTTTGCTGAGCTTCCGCATGTTACACTACTGCAATACTTGCCATATAATCATTCTTGTCACTAGTTGCAGATGATGAGTTCTCAAAATGAAAGGTGAATGCCTTAAAACGCTCAGAGCCGTAGATGCGAACCGCACAGACGCTTTCCAAGCCGAACCACAAAAGGAGTGTCGACTGCGATTCTCCTGCGGCCTTGTGGAAGAGGTGTTGCCCTCTAAATGTTTGTGAACGAGGTTTGGTCATGTTTGATCGAACATTTTGAGACAACACACATGAGAGAAACCAGCGTCAGAGTCTCTTCAGATTGGAGGCTCTGTAAGTTGCTGGGCTTTGCTCAGGCATCAAGGTGGTGCCTTCGGGGTCCTCAATCTCGATTCACTCAGCAGGGGTCCCCATTGCATAGCGTTCATTGAGAACCCGATTGATTCAGTCTTCGGGAAGTTCAGTTCATGTGCCTCAGAGTCTTGGTAGAGAAAAATGATGAAGCACCGTTTGATGTGTTTTTCTTCGCATGTCTCAGGACCTACTCACGTTTCTTCGGAAAGCCCTGAGAATCTGATAGATGATGCGGCGTGCTCACCTTAATTGATCCAAAGTTGATCTTGGTGTGGTGTGCCCGGTGTATGTGTTTGGATTGCGCCTACACCTTTGAGTTCCATAGCTCCACACTTAATTACGCATGGAGCCAAATGACAAATTCTTTGCGGGCTCCTGACAAGTGCCTGACAAGTAAGACAAGCGAATTGAGGGCGGCCCCCGCACACACAAAATGAACATGAGAAGGTGATATATAAGGGAGACATGTCGTCAGTTGTGACAAATTCCAGGCTTGACCTTTAGCCCCGAGGCCTGACCTCCGGGCAAGCTTGCGAGCTGCTGTGCGGGTGAGGGTCCCGGAAAGAAGCGTCTGGAAAAACCGGCGGCCGAGATATACAGCAACGAGTGCAGGTCCCTGGTGTTGGTAGACGAAATGAGATGAAGCGATTTGAATTGGCCCGCCTGTCAAGGGTGACCCAGCTTAACATGCCAGGCCTCCGACCCTGAGCGCCTGGCAGAAGTCTTGCGTGATTTAGCTTCATGGGACTTACAGGAGGCGCGGATGTTGACTTGGAGCTTGTGCAGTATGCACAATCACCCGACACGCATAAAAAAAAGTATGCGAAGCGTTGTGAAGCTTTGTGGCTTTGTTGGGTTCTTAGAAGGAAAATGGTTGGTGGACCTTGGGAGAGTAGGATAAGTCCGTGCACATATATAATCATATATATATATATAATATATATATATATATTTGCTTGGTGTTTATTTCTATACACTCGAACTTGCTGTCTGGCCGTGGTCCATGTTTGCAGATCTTGGCAGAGAGTGATGGCAGTGGGCGCACTTTGCTCCACTTATGTGGGGGCAGCCAGGATTTTGGTTTTGAGTTGCCTCCTCCCTCCCAGCCTGTTTGCCACAGAAACACGCTAATAAACCATAATCAGCCAGGATCTTCCACATTCGCCTAAAGGGCAAGGTATTCATCGCTGGTTTTTTGGCAATCCCAGTCGGACTACATAACATGTCCCAGATGGCCATGTCAGTAGTGAATGAACTTAAGACCTACAACCGCTTGCAACAGCAAGCTCAATGACTAACATACTGTGCACAAGGCAGTGCCAGGTCAAATGAAGCAGGAACATGGCAGTGGAGATTTGTGCGAAGAGAAGTCTTCCATCCAAGCCAGCCCAAGGTGCCACATGGCCCGATGCCAGGGATGCTGCCAAGGACATAATTACCGTCCTGCTTGAAAGAAATGATGTTGAACACGTCCTCCCTATATACATCGACATTTGCCTCGTTGAAATTTAAACCGCACAGCTGGCTCAGATTCCCATGTGGAAAGTGTCATAGACCAGTGGCCCCAGTGGCCTGGCAGGCAGTGCAGAACCTCTTGGACGCCTCTGCAGGGCAACCAAGAAAAGAACTTGGAGACAGGAAGTGAACAGTCACACCCAGTCATTCCGTGTGCCAAACTGCGCCCAAGCCTGGCCTTGAACATGCTCCGAATGTTGTTGCACTGTCGTGGAATCAAGTTGAAGGCAACCACTGTCGTGGAAAAATGGCTATGACCCGGGGTGGTGGCGGTCAATGGACATGTTCCGCAAAAAAACCGCAGAGGAAGAGGCTACTGCTACTTAGTTATTATTACGCGGTATCATGATGCAGCTTCATGGATTGGAGCTTGGTTGTTGTGTCAATATGTTTACGAGCGTCGTCCCATCCCGCTGGATTCTTTGTCATGATCACCGGATCACCTGCAAATAGCATGCAACTGAACAACATGGTGGGTTGGCTCATTGAAGTCACTGCAATTAGGATGAGGTACACTGCGGTGGGGCAACCACACAGCTCCGAGTTGAGGCGAACCCAGAGGTGTCGGATGCCTTTGGACGTACTCCACTGGAGGCACAGCGGGATCCAAAGAAACCTGGGGGACTGACTGTACTGTACGGGGGTGGAATGTCCTGAATGTCCTGCGAGATTTTGGGTTGACTGCACTGTCCTCAGCGATGCCAGGCAGTCATCGAGTCATCAGGAGAGCGTGATTGTGAAGAACCTGAACCAGTCTGGTGCACTCAGACACTGCGGCACCAAAATGAGTGATGTATTCTGATGTTATCATGAATCATGAAGTTCGGGCGGTTGCCATATTCAGCTGTTTCCAAATTCACACTGTGTTTGAAGATTCGAAGCGCTTCCGGGTCCAATATGGTTTCCGTTGACACGTACAATTATAATTTAGAAATCATTTTGAAAGGCCTCGGTGTTGGAAGAGAATACTTTTGTAGCCTCAGGCCTTGGAGCTGTGTGAAGTCCTTCTGAAAGCTAGAGCTTCAAGAGCATCAACGCGGGCAAAGCCAGTGGCGACACCCAGCTTGGTAAGGTTCCGTGGCTGCTGCGTGACTCTGCTTGTGAATATAAGATAGGTGGAGTGATAGGTGGAGGTGGCGGTGGAGTTGAGTTGGTATTTGTTTTCTTGGGCTGGGGCTTAAGACCTTGTCAAATTAATCTACAATTAGTTCACTCCACAACATCGAATCTAGCTTTGCAAAGCTACCCTGCCTTCACTAGCAACACGCAGCCCGCAAGAGGATGCTTTTGTACTTGTACCATGCTGATGTTTCGAGGTATTTTTGGCCAAGCAGACAGCAAACACAGCCATAGGCTGGGCTAGCCACACACTTGGGTGCTCTTTGCAGGCTATTGTGTTCTTGCTTTCTATCCATGCCACTCATGCTGAGCGGCTTGGACCCACTGTCCGAGCTTTGTCTCTCAACCTTCCGCAGACCGGACCCCCATGGGGCCCATGGAGTCTCCATTTGGAGAAGACACATAAACATCCCGCCGAGTGGACAACTGCGCTTACTGTCTTTTGGGTTCTCAATCTTGATTTCAGTATACTTAAAATCTAGACTAGAAATATACTTAAAGCCTGCGTTCGGAAAATGTGACTTCGCACATATTGTGCATGCACGTCGTATCTCCATGGCTTTTTGGTTCAAACTCGCGTTTCGCTGTGGCAAAACACACATTTCCCTCAAAAGTCATCACCTGAACATGCACTTTTTAGGGCCTTTCCGGAGCATTTTGCAATTTCGCCACAGCCACACATGAAATTGAAAAACTCTAGTGACCCACATGTCTCTCTTGAGAATGCGGGTTTCTTTTCCACATCCTCAAAGCGTTCAGCGCCAAAAACACGAGAGAAACACAGAGCAAGCTGCAGCAGCATGTGAACCAAAATGTAATTCACCGCGCACCCAATCGAAAGTAATTAGACCTCCACCTCATATCATCTTCCAATCCAGCGTAATTAACTCCTCCATCTTTCAAAGCGCTTGTGCATGTCGCATCAATCGCATCATCTTCCAAGAATATCCGATACACTACCACCGACGAGTGCAACAATTCCAAAACGCACGGGAATTCCGGTCCAGACACACAAGAAGGAACTCTGAATACGTATGAAGACGAAAGAGGTTGCCCTGAGTCACAATGAACACAAATGCAGGTGATAGCTGTCAGTCCAAGAGCAACGAGATCGCACAAAATCTTTGTGGTTTGATAAAAAGGTGTACGACTACCAGCCCGGTTGTCAACCGGCTAGCATATTGTAAGGGCTTCGCCCGGGTGCCGCCGACCCCCTTTCAGGAGGAGTGTAGCACGTGTAACTAAAGGCGTTTGTGTAGTTCCGGTGGCGGCCCGTCTGTAGCTGCAGTGCACGGGCTGCACGTTCCAGAGGCTCCCTCCCCAGGCTCCCGCCTGACGCAGGCAAGGCTGCGATGCAGGAGTAGGCCAAAGGCGCTGGGAAGGGTTTGAAGCCGGGCCAAAATGCCTAACGTTGCTTGCGGAAGCCCATAAGAACAGAAGAGGCAGGCCTGGAACAGGCGAAGAG